TAATGTGCCTATACCGCAACGTTTTTGCGCAGAAGAGTGGGGTTACAGAAATAACTCAACGGCTTGAGGTATTGGCTATTTCCCGCACGCAAAAGCGTTGCGATATAGGGCACATTACGTGCACGCGTGATGAAAATATATATACGTACTGTTAGTGACTAACATAGCTATATGAAGCTTCGCGCAAAGACTATTGATAACTTTATAACGCGTTTTTACGAACAAAGAGAAATATTTCCGCGAGATAGCGATCAAGAGATATTCGAACTTTACTACTATGAAATAGAACGAAAAATGGACAATAAACTTATAGACGCGCACGAGTATTGTAACTATTATAGTATTATAATGATGAGAAATAGAACGAGAATGAATTCGAGCGCTGGTTTGTCGCCTGTTTATATAGGGTCAGCTTGGTGATCGCGGCGTGCGAAAACGCCGAATTTCCTGGAAAGATAGACAATAAATCATTTTCTTAATTTTCAGTTTTCTCGGCAATTAGCAGCGTCGGACTGGTCAGGTCGGCTATAATCAGTGATCGTCGAGGGCCCGGTCCTGGAAGGGGCCCAATAAGCAAGGCCGGTGACAAAAAATAATTAGTCATGGAAACTATCCAATGATTAACTATAAGAGCTCGCATAAAAAAATTACAAAAAGTAAGATTAAAAACAAATTGATGTATTTGCTTTTTTATCGAATAAAATAAAATTTTATATGAATTGAAATTAAAAATAAATCGTGCATACATGCGTAGTTTAAACGCGTTGTCATATGATACAAATAAGTATGCAGTTACATATAATTTTATATAGGAGTGAGGATAGGGAGGCCCGTGATATTTTGTCGCCGAGAGCCCAAAAATAAGCCAGTCCGACGCTGATGGCAATTAGTAATCGCATCGATCTCAGATTTGGTATAATCATAGATTGATTTTATCGAATGCATGCTATCTAATCGGTTAATCGCTGGCAAGTATGAGGAGGCGCGGGCACATTCCACAGTATAAATTTTCATTATAGTGTTTCGACGTACCTGTCATGGAATCAAATCGTCGCGCGATAACAGCGTGTTTTCACGATCCTCACATTATTCTCGCTGGCGGTATTTCATAGTGTTTTCCACGTGAAAAATAGATTATTTAACATAAATCAGCTCGGAGGCAACAACGCGATTGCAATGTTATTTCTAGCATCGGTTTTTAACCGAATATTAATTAATTATTTGGAATCGCGTTATTACTTTTCCCTTACATCGCGCTACAACTCGGTGGATGATTTTGAGATTTATACTTAACGGCGTTGAGACTCGATTTGCATGATCGGAATATCATGCCGTTATAAATTATTTCAATTATACGGAATTTTTTAAATAATTAGCGTTCTATGTGCCGCTGGACGGCACATAGAACGCTAATTATTGGCGTCCCCGTTCGCGCATTCAGCAGCGCGCAGAAAAAAAAAACCGGCAAGTAGACATATACGAACGACGCGAAGAAAAAGCAGAACGGACGGAAGGGAACCAAAATATGACGAGTTGACGCGCGGCGCGCCGGACGTAATAGTCGATGATTTTCATTTTACGCAGATTGCGCAACCCGATACCATGTACAAGCATTTGTTTTTTTCCTTTTTTAATAATGTTTCAATTGTTAAATAATTATACAACTTTAATTATGTATGTACATCAACAAGAAGAAAGAAAGAAGCCGCAATGACGGTCAAAGCTAGATCACAATACTTATTATAATTATGTGTGAATTTTATATTCTGCGTATGTAGTCCCCTTATATAAATCGCGACGCTGAAGTCGTCAGCCTTGACGCATACACACTTACTACCACAGTAATATCACGAATTCAATTGATTAACGATTTTTTAGATGCTCATAGCATCATGGATCTTAATAATGTTTTGAATGACATATTAAAATCTAAAGATGATAAATTAAAATTCCGTATTAATTATGTATACATTTATTTATGCGTGCACATTTATTAAGGCGACATATACGTATATAATGTGATTGACACAATTGACGATTAATTATCAGATACATAAAAAAATTTTCATTTATTTACCTGGAAAAATTTATTCAATAACCAACAAGGATTTTTCTTTATATTAACTCCCTTATTCAATAATTTTTTTTTGAAAGAACTCTGATTATCCTTTTTTTAACAGACTTACAGATTAAATCATTCAGATTTATAATTAACGCAATAACACTCTTTCTTCAGTGTGAATTTACGTGTAGTGTACAGAAGAGTATGATTAATTTTTCTTTTTAAATAAATCGTAAACGGTCTTTGCTTATTATCTGTATTTCATTGATGTATTCTTACATAAATATGCTTATAAAAATAATATATTCTTCTATTACTTTAATAATAACACAAATTTAAAAAAGGATTTAAAAATAATACAAATATAAACACGACACAGTGTAAGCGTAGGTACAGCACATTAGTCAAATGTATGTTTTTTAAGGAAACATGTACTTATATATTTTGTGTATATTGTGTGTGTTGTGTAACTTATTGTTATATATATATCAATAATTTATCATATGCAGATTTAACTTGACTAATTGTGTGTTAATTTATTATATTTTAAATAGCTTTTTGTACTTTCGATCTGTCAATCGCTATGTGAACAATGTACGGAGATGGATAATCTAGATTAATCTAATAATATAGTACCTTCAAAAGTTATGATGTTGCTTCTGAAGAAAGCTCAATACAGGAGCCGAAACGTTAAGTAGTTTTTTAAGTTTAGAATTTGTATTATTTAGTAATGCTTATTCGAGAATTATGTAAGATGAATGTTTTATTATATAAGAATGTTAAGTGTTATTTAACTTTTTAAAATTTATTTTATTGACTCTTACGATGTCCTTTTTATCTTTCGTTTAATAATATATCAGTTACTTTTTATGGTAATAGATATATTATTATTAGATAAAAAGGTTTAAATTTTTTAGTATCCTTTTTTGAACATGGCTTGAACTTTTCATTTTTATGATATGATTAATTAATATGTCTGTACACTAATAATAAAACTATTTAAAAGCTAACAGTTTTTATTTTCGTATTTATTTATTACCTATTTATTCACATTTATTTATTTACGTTATCATGGCAGCAGGGGTGCGTTCAGAATCATCGTCCGGATGCACCCAGATGTTGTTTTATCCTTGTTGTTTACGAATGATAAACAAGGATAACATGACACCTGGGTACACTCAGATGATGATTCTGAACGCAGCCCAGTCGTCTCTATTCAATACAGATCATGATAAAATAACTGATTATGCCTTCATTTTATTTGCACATTTATACATTTTGTTAATTTTCTGATAATCTGATTCGCTAAGTCTTTCTCTCTGACCGATGCTTGCTGATGGTTTCTGAAAATTCCAACAATAAAATCATTAATGTCCCTACAAAGAATGTTTAAACATACAAATGCACAACAGATAGACGAATAATTTGATGCAACGTATAATTTACTAATACATAAAATACCAATGAAAACATGCCATAACGGTCAAGCTAGATCTTGGATGCTTCTAATATATGTACAATTTTGTATGAATTTATATACTTCGTATATGACGTATGTAGATTCTTAAACACGCGTCGAAATTTTTTCAGACTTCCAACGTGAACTCTAATAAACGCAGTACTATCACGAGTTAAATTGACTAACAATCTAACAATTTTGATGCTCACAGCATCTTGGATCTTAAGAATGTTAGATGGATCCAAGATGCTGTGAGCATCAAAATTGTTAGATTGTTAGTCAATTTAACTAATGATAGTCAGGGAATGGAAGTAACACGTTACTTGTAACAAGTTACTTTTTGGTAACTTTATTGGTAACTGCGTTACTTTTTTTTGATAACTGTATCGGTAATGTAGTTATATATTTTGGATAACGGTAATGAAATTTACAGTTACTTTTATTGTTACTTTGCACACAATTGGACATGTTAATTGACAATAGGAGAAAAATAATCTACTGTGATTGGTCAATTTCTTACGGCTTTACGGTTTAGAGCCTCTTAAAGCGAGGTTGTGGACCTAGCCTACCTGCTCTTGATAAGTGACTAATGGGTTATTGACACCCTGTAATAGTGTCAGTGTTACATATATATTGCTTTTATTAACGTTAAACAAAAAATACTGTTAAAGTACATTTTCAGACTGATTTCAAAAAAGTAACAAAACGGAAAATGTAACGAAAGTTACTTTTTCGAGTAATTGTAACTAGTTACTTTTAAAAAGCGATAGCTAGTAACGGTAACTTGTTACTTATTTTTTATTCGGTAACGAGTAACTGTAACTTATTACTTTTAAAAAGTAACTTTCCATTCCTTGGTGATAGTACTGCTGTAATTTATTAGAATTTGCGTTGTAAGTCTGAAAAAATTTCGGCGCACATATAAAAATCTACATATACGCGTATAGTATATAAATTCAATTTATTTGTGACTTTTATTATTTAGTTCTTTTATATTACACAACTGTCAATTTTATATTAAGAGTCCTTGTATTTAAATATTATTTTTATTTTTTGCTGACTGTAAATATACGATTACCTTCCGTTTCTTTAACTTTAAGATGCGAAAATCTATCATCAAGAATGAGCATCGGAAAAGGGCTGAATCATACAGCCGAAATATGTAATGCGCGTTATTTATTTGACTCTTATTAGTCCTTTTATATTACATAACTGTCAATTTTATATTAAGAGAGTCCTTATATTTAAATATTATTTTTATATAAATTCATACGAAATTATATATTAGAAGCATCCAAGATTCAGCTTGACCGTTGTGGCCGATGTTCTCATCGGTATTTAGTTTAAACTCACGGTCCAATAAGATTTGATAATACATTAAAGTTTTCCTTTTCTTATATTAAATTAGTAAATTGATATCTCAAAAATTTATTTTTGTTTAATAATGTAACTAACAATAAACTTTATAAAGATTATTTATCAAAAATAATTATTACTTACTTTTGGAATTATAGTTCTTATAGTGGAGTTTTTGGCAAATGCGTACGGTGAATAATGCATTACGCTGTCATAATCATAAGGGATATCGTAATCTTCGACGATGTCCGGGGAAAGTTTGACAAAATTACTCAAGCTTGCTAGATATACAAAATAAAGATAGTTTATAATGTAGCTCTGCAGAATATTTTCATTTTATTATTATAACATTAAGAATAAATTTACACGAACAGTCGCTCATTGTTTTATAATAATATTAAATTTTGTTATAGTTTTATAACAATATTAACTAAAATAATTCTTAGATCGTAAGTGACAGAAAAAATTCCTAGAAATTTTTATATAAATCAATCTGCAGATAGATAAAAGACTTTCCGGCTTGGCAAATGACGTACAGTAGAACCTCTTTATAGTCCATCTCTTTATAGTCACGACCTCCCAATAATCCACAGTCGACTTCCGTATAAAAGTTCTACAGAATCATTTGACCGCGGCGGACTCGTTTCGGTTCGGGTGCTTTCAATTACATATTTTTTGAAAAGTGGTACCTACTTTGACCCTGTGGGCCTATTTTGTAACTTGTAACGACAATTCGGTATCGTTATACTATCGTTGCGCAGGTTTTATACCATGTAAAATATCTGCGCAACGACATCCCTAGCTAGTAAAATTGTCGTTAAAGAGTTACAGAATAGGCCTACTGCTTTGCATTTCATTTTGATTTTGTCTATCTCGCGAATCTGGACGACTCGTTCGTTCGTCTTGACGCGCGTTCCCGGTGAGAAATGACAATGGAATCGACGTCGAATCGATGTCAATTTGACGTCGAATCGACATCAATTCGATGTCGATTCCATTGTCATTTCTCACTGGGTTATTGCGGCGTAACGACGTTGTAGACGCAAGCGCTCGGTGCATTTTTGCTGCTACAATTTTTTCACAATGTCATAATGACGTTATAGCAGTGACTATCATATAGACAATGTTATCACAGACGTTTTAAAGCTTCATGTGTTACTTGGGAAATCTTGTGTTAGTCACATCTCAAGAAAATAAATAGTTATCAAAACATTTTTCTCAGAATGTTACAAATGAATGTGCTTAAGAAAGCTACTTACGATCCTGATGCTTTGTAGCGGAGCTAAGATAACCTCTTTATTGTCACATTTGGACCTGAGTGTGTGACTATAAAGAGGTCTTACTGTAAATTTTGTTGATATAATAATTAAAATTAACAATAAACCTCCCAGGTCAAGAATAAATTGAGCAATAATGGTTGTTAAATATATCTATAAATTTATTATAATAATAACATTAATATACAGTACGTTTCGACTTCACAGAGTCCTCATCAGCCGTAAAAAAACCCATTAACAGATGAAACCAATTTCCTCTTAAGACATCCGAAATTTCTACGACCACACTATATGTCCTAACTGTGCAGATGGTCACACGTTAGTGACAAAGATTCAATACACATCCAGTCAACCAGACCCCCCCTTCCACCCTATCCACATGTTTACATTTCTATCCATCGTCAGAAACACGTTTAAACAAATGAACATATATGTCATCGAGAGATTCAGTATCCTTTTTCAAATTAACATCATTTAACTGTTCTTTTATATGTAATGTCTCTGATATTAATCTCTTATTATAATTAGATTCGGAGTCCATAATTTTCGTATTCTTCCTGTCAAAGACATGATTGCACTCTAATGCATGGTTTGTTAAAACTGAATGTCTAGATGCATCAAGTTTTCTATTATTTATATATGTTCATTTACTCTAGTACTTAATTTCCTCTTTGTCTGTCCTACATAAGTCACATTACAGTTCCCACATGGAATCTTATATTTACAACATTATTACTATTACCTTTTTCTTTTTTATCTTTAAGTAATCTTTAATACATCTATCCAACTTATTCAAACACCTGTAACCAATACTATAGACTGATTCATTGAACATATGAGTAATTGAATATGTTACACTATTTATAAATGGAAATACGATGAACTTTTTCTTATTTAAATTTTTATTACTTTCTTTCGAGTTATCACTGAATGTGGAAGTAATTTTTTTAGTTTGTATTTTTAATTCGTATACTAAATTGTTTGAAAATTAATTCCAGCGGATATCCATTATTTAAAAGGATTGAAATACATGTTTCTAAATTTTTCTGATGAAATTTAGGATGTGATAGTAATATCGCTCTGTCCACCAGGCCATAAATTGCGCCTATTTTGTGACAAAGAGGGTGGTTAGACAAATAAGATAAATATCTCCCAGAAAAAGTTTTCTTATGAAACCAATCAATTGTTATACCACCATCTTCCACAATCAGTAACAAATCCAAAAAACTTATACAATGATTATGCTCATATTCTATTGTGAACTGTAATCGTTCATGAATGCTATTAAAAGTATCAAAAATAACCATGATTTTGTCCTCCGGGGCTGCCAAAATTATATCATCCACATAACGAAAATAAAATGATACATTGAAACTTAATAAATTTAAAACTTTTTCTTCCAAGTCTTTGTAACACTAAATCAGCTACAATCGGAGACAACGGTGAGCCCATAGGTGTCCCATAGGTCTGTTTGTATATTGAATTGTTAAATTTAAAAAACGTCGAAGATAAGACAAACATAATGGCATT